TCTGACAATTTTCAAGCAATACAGTATATGGTATCAGCACATCACAGAATATCTGATGGTGAACGTTTCAGACTCATCTCTTACTTACGGATTCGAGTTTGATTTCACAGTAATTTTGCATTAATCTACGAGTTATTCCATTTCTCTTGAAAAAGTATCGAAAATTCAGCTATCACACATGCACAGCAATCTTAGTTTTATAGCATAAAACAAAACATACTACGCTATTTTCATTCACGAAACTCCGCGGAGGACTGATGCCATCCATTTTGGCAAAGTTTTGAACTATGGCTGGTATATGGCGCACAGGTGATGAAGAATAAGGAATTATTTAGAACCGATTCTGAGGGACTTGGGCTGGGGCATTAAAAAAATTATTCTGACATGTACACTGCTCATAAAAAATACTCTGTAATTTCAGTATCCCTAAATCTATGCAACTAAATACAGTACCACCTGATTGGCTTTTTGTGAGAGAAGCAATTAAAGTATCATAAGGGTTTAGCAAAATTCCTCATGGAAATTGCTGACGACAAGCAACATTTAAAATCTTTAAACTCATTCGGGAGGCAGTTTTCCAGGTAGGCTTTGTGGGGTGATTCGATAACCTCCTTGGGCCGGATCCGGCCCGCGGGCCGTATGTTGGACGGCCCTGCTCTATACCTTTTTTGTCTTTGTTTTTGATTTTTGGCTGTGTCCCTCAGCCACTTCCGATTTTAATGTTCCCAACCTTTTTGGGCTTGTGCACTGGCAAATTTCCATAAAAATTTTTGCAGGTCAGCAAATTTCCAAAATAAATGTCTGCAGACCAGAAAAGTTTCATGAAAGATTTCTATAGACAATAAAAGTTTTGTTTGAGAGACGCTATGGAAGGTATTCAAGAATACCAATGAAGCAGCAAAAGTGGAATTTATTCAAAAATTTAGTAAGGTGGACTTAAAAAAACGTTCCTCTCACTGAATACTCAAAATGATTTTTTTCAGAAGGTGAAAATGTTTCTGGAATGTTGTTGAGAGAAAAGCAAAGTGTTTCTTTCATCAATAAATTTCAACTGCTTTTGTCTTTTCAAATTTTCAAAAAAAGATAATATACCTCATTGCTCATTCTGATACATTTATTATTCTGAACAAAATTTCGTCCAGACCAGAGAACAAATTCTGTGGACCACCTGTTGGGTAATACTGGACTACAATATTGAAAAAAAAAAAAGTTTCGCAACCCCGATGACATGACGCTACTTTCCCCACATTTCTGCAGTGAGCGCTTTTGAGATTTTTGAAATACTGTATATGGAACGATTTCTGCACTTCTCACCGGGCCGTTCATCAAATAATCCTTTCTCATCGCACCTATGGTTCAAATGAGACAACGAAACCGGTGAAAAAACCCCAACGAAAATACGGGAGAGAGAGTGTAGTTTCACTTGTTTATAGTTTTCCGAGGACACGATGTGATGTGAGGAAAGCGAGTGACTTACGCTTTCTGTCGTCAGTTGTTCAGCGACTCGCGCATGAGCCGCTCGCGAAGGTTATGCAATACGTACATACGGTGTTCGGGTGAAGTTGCGAATGCCGTCGGAAACGCGTTCAGCGAGTGAGTGATGGATGCAAACTTCCGCATCCTGGTCAGTTTTTGATTCAGAGCATGTAGTCCTGAATCTTCTGCTTTTGTGCAGTGTTATGAGAATTGTGCAGGTGTATTATAGAGTCATGTAATGCCGATATTGAAAGGATATGGGGCGTCATCAAATTTCCGGGGAAAACTGATCGTTTGGCGTGAATTCTTGTGGCATCTGATGAACTGATGATGCTTGATGATCCATCAGATGGGCGGTACAATACAGTACTGTGTTCACAATATTTTCAGAATTTTTCTATAAGGTACTGCCGTGTACAGAAGGTGAAGTTTAACCTCAATAACTGGAAACTTCTTAAGTTGATTTTTTGGTACTTTCCTGTTATCCCTGTGCCTACTTTCCTGTTATCTCTGTACCTTCCCTCTGACCAATTTAACCTGACCTAACCTAACTTCACCTAACTGCCTCCCAAAATCAGTTTCTGCTTTCTTTGGGTTTCTGCTGAAACTGATTTTGGGAGGCAGTTAGGTTAAGTCAGGTTACGTTAGTTAAAAGACATTTGTAACTAACATAACCTGACCTAACCAAACTTTACCTAACCGCCTCTTAAAATCAGTTTCAGCAGAATGTGGAAAAATAAAATTCACAGTTTCTGGTAGGTCTTTGTGATTATGAACTCGTCCTAAAGATTTTTCTGGATGGTAGTGCAGTCTAGGAATGAGGTACAGAGATAACAGGAGAGTACAGATTTTTTTTCAAGTGAGTCCCTGTCTGAATTCCTTTAGCAACACTCCATTAAAAACCTCTCTGACTGGAATTTTCCTGAGGCCTTTTGGATATCATTTTCTTGATACATGAGGAAGAAAAGGAATCAAAAAGTAACTTGATTTGTTTTTAAAGGAAATGAAAGACTAATTGGGCAAATGAACTGTTACCTCCAAGTTCAACATCCTGTCAACTCATGAAAAAACTATTCAAGGCCCAGAATAACACCATGTACGATTTCCTGCATTTTTTATTATTTTTTTTTCAAGAACCTAGTCACCAGCAACTCGTTTTTTATTTTTGCTGGTCCCTTGAAGTTTGACTTCTACTCATCTACTGAATCAAAAATTTTCAACAACCTGTTTGTGTCTCAGATGAATTGTGAATAGATTACGGAGATTTAGTGCAGCATTCCCCCCCCCCCCCCACCATTTGCGCGAGTTTCATCCTTTTCATACGACATTGTTCTGCCTGCGCTAGAAACACACGAGGTTGTAAGAGACGGAACTGTATGCGGAAGTCGTCTGCTTTCCCCTTTTTCTATAATTGCTCCTTGAGAGTGTCTTCAGTTTTCCTTGAAGGAAGTTCGTAATTACGGAACTCTAGGGAAAAAATCCCAGACAATAGTTCTACATGTAACTTTATTGTGGTGATACAACGTGGGATGGCTTGGAAGTTATTTAAATTCCTTGAAGTGCAGCCCTTGGCGTTTCTATCAATCAGTAAAAAAAAGAAGCTTTCGGGATATCAATGAAAACACTTGAATTAACCGTGCGTTCACTTGTGGAAGTATTTTTTTCCCCATTTCAGTCTGTATAATTGGGAAACTCTTGCATAGTCGAATTTTCAGAAAATCTCCCGAAGTCGGCTCAGAATAAAAGTCACTTTTGAAATTTCCCATTATTTTCGAGTTCATGGACCTTGGTAACATGGTGTGGGTAAACTGTAAGCTTCCTTCTAACTCGCTCTTGGGATGAACATTCAGATTTTGGTTTGCTACTTATGTCAATATGTTGCCAAAAGTTAGCAGTCATGATATGATGCAATTTTAGGGAACATTATTCAGATGTCATCAATACCAATTAAATCGTCGGAAAGAGAAAGATGAACAATCGCAAAATTCGAGGCAATATCCTTTGTGTTTGACAACTGTAAGCAAATTGAGATTCCAACGATATTCAAAATCACCAGCCTTATCAATATTTCGAAACAGTTTTCCGGGTATTTTCTGAGTTAACTTACAGTATTTTGTTGTATGATATAGGAATCCGTAGCGATAACTTTCAGATGCTAGTATATTCGGTAAAATGAAATCTGTTGAACTCGCAGAACAGCGAGAAATAATACAGATGGACTCTCACGACGACGACTTTCGTGGTATGACGATTTTTTTCTGTAGGATTCTATCCCCTTGTTATAGGGTTCTTTACAACGAAATTCTTTGTAAAACGTATTTTTGTCTGGTCCCTTGAATTTCGTTGCCGATAAATTTCTCCTGTTGTAAATTTTGGATCGAGGATTTTTATCGAACAATTCGGTTGATATTATGTATAGTAAAAAATGTTGTTGACGTGTCCCGCTGCACGTATGGTAGAGTACTGTAGCTCAAGCATATTGTATTTTCTTTTATTTTTGTTATCAATTTGTGCTTTCCTGCTCTGAAGTGATTAAAATGTCATTGAGTGGATTTGGGTTGGATGGGAAGGGGGTTTGGTTGTGGAAATCTTGATTGAACCTTGTGAACAATGAAAAGCAGCAAATAAAGTGTTCTGTTCATTCATTCATTCAAACATTTCTGATTGTTTAACAGAAAGGAAAAACAAATGCACTAATGTTTCTGAATTTTTTCAATAATCCGCTATTCTTAGCAATTTAAACGGATCGTCCGAGCAGCAGTTCACTAGTGTTACCAAGAAGATCTTCAATGAATTGAGTCTGGTTTTTCGATGTGTTGAGATCTGAATATTTTTCACGCCACTTCACCGAAAAATTCATGAAAATGCAAATATTGTGTTTTCGTGTATATGGCAAATTTTTTAGGCAGTGATTGAAATTTTCAAACCTTTTCATTTTGCAAAGATTTCCTGTTCGGATTTTCTAAATGGGGTTCAACTTGCTTCGCTCTTCTGAACCATCCACGGACTCGAGCAGTTGAAACGCGCTTTTTTCCCCACTTTCATACAGTCGCAAAGAGAGACACTCGGGTAGCATTGCTTCCATTGTCCAGCAAAACGCGTCAAATCTTCTTGACCTTGCATCGTGGATCAAAAGAAACTGACCTTGGTGTCCCTTGTTGCGAGTTCGGTGCTGTATCCCAGTGGTTTCCCACCGACAGACGCAACCAGCAAGAACTCCAGCATCACTCAGTGGAACAAAAATGTAGCTTCTTAGCTCTGTGCAAAGCTGTCTCAGAAAGTGTGTGTGTAGACTTCACTGTACTTTTCAAATTGTTTTCTTTTCTTTTCTTTGTAAACAAATATAGACAAGTTTAGGGAGTGACGAGATAACGTTGTGTGCCCGTGGAAGAGCAGCAGGTTGCGAAGATTTCTTTAATGTATCGTCATTCGCTCCTGAGGAGTGACTTGCGAAAACAAAAGGTGGCCGTTGTTCGCTCCGTGATTTCCTGTTTATTATTACTATTTTTTGTATAACTCTGTTCAGGGTTCTTTCGTGAATTAAAAAAAAAAGAAAAAGAAAAACTGAAAGGAAGTGACGAAGGAAAATGCGCTGGCTCAGGCTAAGAGTCCAGTCCGGGGACGACGAATATTTTGCGACGTAGTGCGAGTGGCGGTCTTTTTTTTTGTTGAAACGCTTCGAGCGTGGATATACATTTGTGTTTCTGCTTGAAATCTGACGTTTCTCGAAGAAACGAATTGCTGATTTTGAGCTTTAATTTGTTGCCATGATTGCTTTGGCTACAGTTTGCGCCGTGTCGGTGCTTTTTCGAACTGTCGGACAGCCGTTCGAAGTTCTGGGTGAGTGAATGATTATAATTCACTGCAGGTTTTGATAATGTTGTGTGTTATGAATTTCTGTGTTGATTATTAGTTTTTTTCGTGCAAAAATTGTCGAATTTAGTCATCGTTGAAAATTGAATGGCATGCTTCGAGAGCTCAGAAAAGTATCCTCAAGGAAAGATTTTGTTTCTTTTTCGTGCCTCCTGGATTTTTGCGTCCGTAATTTTTTATTTTATTGGATATGTATCGCATGAATTTCAAGTTGCTTCTTTAGATTTTGTGTATATTGGGATTTTTGGTTGTTTTTGGATCAAAGTTTGATCAAGAATTGAATTGACGGTCTCCCGGACTGGAAAACATTTAGAATGCCAGGATTAAGAAGAGGAAGTGCCAAATTTTTCTTGATTACTTCAGAGAATCTCTCCATCAATTTGTAAGTCACTCAAAGAAACATTCCGGAAATTTCTCGATGAATGAAATGCAACTTTTCATTGTGCGTGTCGTTGTTTTATGCAGGGTCAGGATTTATAATCAAATAATTTCAGTTATTTTTCCAAGTTTCGCGTTTGTGTTTGCTCCGGCTTTGAAAAAGCGTTTACATTTTTTGAAAATGTTGTCAATCACGTTCTGAACCCCAATATATTTCATTATTTACACATCACGACCAATCGCTAAATTCCATTTTGCATTCCATCTGCTACTCTCAAGTATGGTTTACCTTTAATTGTGTAGGAATTGAAACGAAAATTTTTTTCTGGCGTCGTCCATCACAATTGTGTCAGTCACCGACATAATTGCGGTCTCATTGAAAAAATTAGAAAACTTTTTTCATATATTTTTCATTTAAAAAAAAATTATGGCTCTAAGATGTTCATTCTGGTGTCAATTCGAGTGAATGCATTTGTCGTGAAACCGATTCTCTGTTCAGCCAAAAAAGCTGGAGAGGTTCGATTTCCATTCGTTGCGTAACATTTCAACCCTGGTTGATCGACACAATGAAGAAAACAAGGGATTGTTCTCCATCTTACCACACAATGAGACAATAACAGCGACTGAATGAATTATCGTTACGTTGGAAAGGGGTCATGTAGACTAGACCTTGATGATTATGAAATTGAAAAATATGAACATACTACTTGTGAGTACATGAGTATAACGCGGTACTTCATATTGTAAATTTGAATTTCAAATATTTTGAGAACTAAAAAAAATACTGTAGAAATGTGATTATGTAGACTCATGAACAGTAGGTGCTTCTTCCGTGATTAAAAATTAGATGAAGGCACGATTTTTAACAGATGCAAATTTTACTGGCCCTCTACCATTGCATGAATTCTGGGAAATTTTTAAATATGATTACCACGAATAATTCGATGTCGTGAGAATAATGACAAGGTTCCACGTCTCCGTACATGTTCTTTTTATGAATAAACGTTTGATTCAGTCAATGAAAGCAATGAAGATTGGATTTTAATACTGTATATACGTGTACTTGATGAATTCGAAACGTTTGAGTACTTTTTGCGTTTTCAACAAGCTCATTAAACCTTATCTGCACTTGAGGAAGTGCTTGACGGGTACCGAAAAGTTTCCGCAAATATGCTTGCTCTGATAAGACAGAAGGATGATTCGCTTTAGAAGACTGCTTTCAGTTCAATGAATATACCAGATTAAAGTTATCTATAAGGCAACCCACGCGCATGCGAACACTTGTGATTTCATTTTATTTGCGAAGCCTTCCGTTTGTATTTACTGTATTGAGTTCAGAGTACGGTACTGTCTGCATTCGTCTATGCTAATGTTTGATTTGAAAAAAAAGTCAATTTTTCAGAGGGAGACACGAACACGATTTTTTTTTCAATCTCGTGTGAAAGCTCCACGATTTTTCTGAACACGTTTTATTCACATTTTTGAAATTTCTTCCGAACGTTTAATACTGTATTTCAAAGATAACCCTGCGAGGCTTGGAATCACAGTTGAAAATGAACCGATTTCTATACTTTTGCGTCATTAAGGATCAATTTTTGCAAGACATTTAGTTGAATGTTTCTTGAAGATGCACAAGGAATTTATTCTTGAAGTTTCAAAGTTGTTTCATCGCAGTGATCGAATACTGAGAAGAAAAGAATTGTCTCACGCAACACGTGTAATTATTTCTACTGATTTGTTGGATTTTCTCTCTGGTCGGGACAGGTTTTAAATTTCTTTAAAACTCAAAATCGGAAATAGAAAAATAGTCAGGATCGAAAATCTTTTGTAACTCTCGAATCTGGACATGTAGAGTGTTCGAGAAATGGTTCATAAGTTTCATCAGTTTTGAAAAATTTTGGAATTAGATCGGAATTAGATTGATTGAAAACTACAATGGGTAAATGAATGTTCAAAAGCCATGGTTCAAACAATCATTTCAGAGTTGCAAAAGGATATTAGTCATACATCTGTTATCAAATCACAAATGGAAAGCATAATTCAAACTATACTTCGATTATGCCGTGATGGGAATCAATATCAGTTTGGCGAACTCATTCCAGTGCTAATGGTCACATCGAAGACCGAACTGGCAATAAATTATTTTTTGGACAAATTATTGTCGAGGAACTTGAGGTTTTTGTTTCAATTCTGTCTTCCTCAAAGAATTTCCGATTTCGTATGGGATATTCGAACCACTTGACAGATGTCACGACCAAGAAATTTATGGGAGGTGTGAAATTCTGCAATTTCCGGAGATAAAAATGAAGCCTTCGTTTCTTCACCAAAAAATAATTCGATTTTTGAAATAATCAGTGGCGAGCTAAGGTTTTATGATTCGAAGTCGTGCAAAGAATGTCCCACAATGCAAAAATGTGAGTTTCGCGCTAATTTAGATGCTTCTTTTTTACCCTGTTCCACGCAGATTCTGCGATAGCAAGATTCCGACAAAACACATTCGGAAGAAGCGACGATGGCTTGGGATCATCATCATCATCATCATCATCTGGACTCACATTCGACTCGACCATTTCCGAATGTTTGCAGCAAATTGTGCTTTCTGGTCGGGACCAGACCAAAAAGGGTCTGCCACTTCTGGGGGTGCCACCATTGGACCCCCTGGCCATCGGCCCCTTGTACCTCACCGACGACGTCGACTTTTTCTTCAGACTCCACAACGTGTCTGTCGGTGGGGTCACTTCCGGCATGACTGCCAAAAACATGAGACTCGAGTACAATACCCCTGACAAGAGGATCTACAGTGTCATGGAAATCCCGTCCATCGAAATCTACTCCAAGTACGACGTGGAGATTAAAGTGGGAAGGTTCATGCCGGCCTTTTTCGGCAGGAATTACTCAATCACGTCCTTTGGAAGCGTCAATGCAACTATGAGTGAGTTCTTGAATCAATGTAATCGTTTTTATAAAAAATGAACCAGAAGTAAGCTTTTGTAAAAAAAAAAAAAATCAGGACCAGATAATAGGTAAACTTTTTTCCGACTTTGCCCTGCACGTGATTGAATGTGTTCTAAAGAAAGTCTGTGCCGACGTTTTCAGTAGTCTGAAGAGACAATTCCCAAATAACTTCTGAAGAATAGACTGTACTTTCTAACCAGCTACTTTTTTTTCTCAGCAGACATATTTAAGAAAAAAATTCACGTCGGTCTTTTCTGGCAAAAATTACTCGAACACGTCTTTTGGAAGCGTCGATGCAACCATGAGTGAGTTCTTGGGAAAATGACACATTTTCAAAAAGTTCGAAGAAGTTTTAAAAAATAGATATTGGAGGAGTAGGATTTTCTAAAAAAAAAATCGGGACCAAATGGGGAAGAAAGAAGCTGTTCGTCGAATTTGCTCTGGGATTAAAAGGGATATAATTGAGTATTTGTCAACTTTTTCAGTAATTTAAATCGATAATTTGTAAATATCTTCGGGAGAATGTACAGCACTCTCTAACCGGGTCACATTTTACTGAGAGACATTTTTTAAATATTTTATGTCGGCCTTTTTGGCAGGAATTATTCATGCACGTCTTCGTGTAGCGTCAATGCAAATGTGAATGAGTTCTTGAATCATTGACATAAAGTTTCAAAAAATATGTCAGAAGGAGGCTTTTTTTTTTTTTACAAAATTCAGGACCAAATGGGGAAAACATTATCTGTTCCCGGTTTCCCTTTGAAATTGAGAGTGATCTTATTATTCTAACGGAAGTCTTTGCCAACGTTTTCAGTAATTAAAGGAGATAATTTGTGAATAACTTCTAAGGAAATAATTTCCTGTTCTCTCTAACGACTAACCAGTTCAACGAAACCAATGCAGCCAATAGTGAGTTCTCGAGTCAATGAAATGAAGTTTCAAAAAATAAATCAGAAGTAGGCTTTCGTACAAAATTCAGGACCAAATAAAATAATGAAAAACTTCTCCCCGAATTTCTTGTTTAATTGAAAGTGTATGAAAAGTTTCGAAATACGAAGAAAATGTCATTTTCGTCTTCTGCTGGAAGACCAGCAATTCAAAAGTGATCTTTGTGGCGAGACTTGTGTTGTTGAATGCAAGTGAGAAAATCCGAATTTTTATAGTCCAATGCTTCGCAGGAACCCAAACTTTTTTGATATGCTGTGATGTTACAAACCCTGTCTAAGTTATCCTCCCATTTATCTTCGTCAGTTACTATAAAATAAATCCTCGCCAAGAGAAAAAGAAAAATGTCGAAGCAACGAAAAGAGCAAAAAACTACTCACCGCATCATACTCGGCATAATTTTCTCCTCGTTTTCGCTTTCGTTTTTTTTTTTTTCTTATTTGCATGGTGACTTCGCCTGATATTTCAATTCGGAAACGTTTGTGGCGTACAGAGATATCTGTTTGAATTTTAATTACAGATTCAGCACTCGAGTGTGAGAGACTGGCCCGAAATGTCAAATTGGATGGAATTTTCCGTTTAGACTACTTTGAAACAGTTTTTGGAAATGCCTTTCTGATTCCCGAATTTCACGAATTGAAACCCTGTGAATAAGAGAAGCTTTCCAAATTCATTTCACTTTGAAGCAATAATGAATATACAGTACTTTCATTGTAAAGTGCTACGTTGTGCCACGATTTGAGTTGCATTCACTGGATTCCTGTGTTTTCTTCGTATTTTCCTAAATTCTTTGATAAAAAGTTTTCTCCGACGTATTGACACTGTGAATTTAATAAAATTCTATGAAGAACACTATTTAAAGGCTCAATCTGGAGAAGTGCTTCAACGGTGTCCATTTACAGCGGAAAAAGGCATACAACATTTCTGAATTCCATAAAAAAATACTGTACCTGATTTACTTAGTTCAGAGACAGAAAACTCCGCAGGACTTGTGAACAAAGAAAAATATCACTGCCAAAATAGAGGTCACACATTCCAAGTATTATTGCACGAGATGAGAGTGCAGTACTGTAACGTCAAACTTGATGAAATCTCGAATTTCATAATTTTTTTTACATTTGGTTGCATCCATTTTGTCAGTGTTTTCCCCACAAAAACTTACTAATGGAACAATACTTTCAAACAATCCTTTTGAGCAATCATGAAATTCAATTGCAGGCAGATGTTCGGTTTGAAATTGATAAGTAATTTTCCACTCCTGATTTATTTTCTGACATGAATCTGATAGATGCAGTAATTTCAGCGGGTCTCTGTGAGAAGTTGGATGCTCAAATTAAGCTGCGTGACAAAATAACTTGGTCAAATCCAACACAAACATTTGAAATTACTGAATCAACAAGATTGTCCCCAAACGCAACTTCATGGAGTATAGTACTAGGAACCAATCAGAACTCTTTCATTTAATTTTTTCACACCTATAAATACAGTGAAACCCCCAGATGCGGACTGTTGTCCGTAGACCAAGGTTAAACACATACAAGTCCAATAAAAATATATGCTTCCAAATATATTCAATTCACTATATATTTGTAAAATCACACAAACATAAAAGTAGAGAGCTTTTAAGAGAGTCTTGCAAAAACGTTCTGCAAGTCTCTCTGAGAAATAACCGCAAATGACTCTAGAGTAATTCTGGAGAAATATGTGGGAAAGAAAGTATATTTATACCTTCCTGGAAACACAAAATATAGAGGCGGAATATTTGCCTAGATTGAGGAACTGCGGGTTCCATGAACACTGATGAACATATATATATAAATCCGGGTTTATAAATTAATATTAATAATATATACTCTTGCAAGTTCAACAGAATAGGCTTCTTCTAAATGGGCAGTTTAGAAGAAGGCAGTGCAAGTTGTTTGTCACTGTTGACAAATAGCAAGTTGAAAAGGAGAAACGCACAATAATGACCATCAAGCATTAATGCAGGCTGATGTGAGAGAGGGGGAACCAAAACAAAAGGGGAACAGCTGCAAGGAAACAAGTACCTTGTTGAGAAGGATCTCCTTCCAAATAAGGAGAAAAGAAAATAATTGCAATTTGGTTTCTGGGTTACAGGACATAATTAGTCCATAAAGAGTGTCCCTAAGTTGAATTGTCTCTAGGTCAAGTCTTGTTTTCCCATACACTTACATTATATAATTTTTGTTTTATGGAAAAAATATTCTTCAGAATTCCATGAAAAAAATTGTTTTCCCTTGAATTGGATACCATGAATATCTTTTCAACTCAATAAGAACATTTGGAGCATTGAATAGTGTACCTCTGTACAGTACATTGAAATGTTGGCATTCTCTGTAAAAAAAATTATATTCAAGTCACAAAGAGAGAAGGCAGTCTCTATGTGCTATAGTTAATTTCCTACATTAGCTGAATGGATGGGAAAATGATGGGAGAAATGCCAAAGAATTTTTCTTGCATAGATCTTAGGGTTGGAAATATCTATTTCTTGCCATTAAGCCTAACAAAAGTCAATCTTCCTGAAATGTATTGGCAATTTTATCATGCAATGTCCTCATGTTGGGTCAGTGTCTGTATGTTGGGCCTTTTCTATGCCTTTTTTATTGGAAAATAAATGTCCCCAAGTTAAATTATCCACATGTCAAGTTGCTTGCTTGTTGGGGTCTCACTGTATTCATTTATTTTGCAGATGAAGTGGACATGAAATCATATTTCGAGTTCAAAGAAGAACCGCGATGGGGACAGAATCTGGAGATAGACTCGACTTACGTCGCATTCGACTTTAATTCGTCAACTTGGACGTACACCTCAGAGAAACCCAATGACGTACTGGTCAAGTACCTGACTCTAGTGGGCAACAACGACGCTGCCCTGCGTCCAATTCTGGACGTTCTCAGACCCACCCTCGTCCAGTTCGTCAATCGGTTCCTCTACAAGACCATGAGCAACATCTTCAAGAATGTGATCCTCATTTAGCTCGCCAAAATTTGCCTCATGTGCCACACATTTTGCACTTTTTTTTCCATGTTTTCATTTTGCGTGTTTCGACTGCCTGTATGCCTTTGATGATGACGGGAAGCAACAAATTCTGACAACAACAAAAGTCTAGTGACCCATTTTTTTGATTATGCCAAAATGTTTGCTTCTTTCAAAATTTATGCTTTACTATCAGAGGGTTGTTGCTTGTTTTTATCTGTGAAAAGAAAAACAATTGATTGTGCTCGTGAAACAGTTATTCGCGTGTGCTTTTGCGAAGGTTTTTTTTTTCATAGTCAATTTGCTTTTCTCCTCAGCGTTTAAATTAAGTAAACGCGAATGGGACGATTTTTTTTGGAGAAGGGTATTTGAATGTCCAGACCTCGTTTCTTCGTTTTATATGAACGAACTTTGATGAATTTTTTTTCGGTTGGATTATTGTGATTTTATGTTCATCTTTTTCAAGGAAGCATTTTAAGGAAACTTTTGAAAAATATGTTGATGCGAACATCAGTGGCCAGATTGAAAATCCGAGAAAAAGGGCTTTCTTCTTATTTTTTTTTTGTCTCGAGCGAGAAAGTGTCAAGTTGTTTCTTGTGTTCATGCGTGATTGGAAGGAAGAAAAAAGAGGGAGATTCCAGGAATCGTTGGGTATTTTTTTCGACGAGCTGTCGAAAGGTTTAACTTCTCTGCTTCTGACCTTCTTGTGTGCATTCATGCACGTTTTTATTCCTGAGATATATATATCTCATGGGTTCAATTTTATCAGGGAATCAGAGCCAAGAGGATCTTGTGGATTCGTTGATTGAGAGCCGCTACGTCATCAATGCTCGAGTGGCCAGAGTGATGATGCAAGTGGACCGGAAGCATTTCGTCACTAAAGATCCCTATGTAGATTCTTCCCAGCCCTCGGGCATAAAAGGAGTCAACGTCTCTGCTCCCAACATTCACGCCACCATTTTGGAACTCTTCAAGCATCACATTTTCAATGGCTCTCGAGTCTTGGATATCAAGTAAGGAGTTTATGTCACAAGGATGGTTTCTGACGATCCTCTCAAAATGATTCTCACAGTGAAAGCATTTGATTTTGAATTTTAATATCGCTGGAGCTTTTCTCTCAGTTTTTAATACAGACGAGGGACCCCGACGTACGGAAACTGTGACTTAGGGACACTTGAAACTAGGAAAAGTCTGCCATGACATTTGAATAATGTCTCAAGATACAGGCACTTGTTCCACCATCTCTAGAAAGATTCAAACTTTTAAAATTGTGATCTCTTTAATAAAGTGAACTACTGTAATTATATTCACAAAAATGAATTTCATTATACAATTACCCTATTTTATGATAAAAAACAGGGTAATTCTTTAATATTTGTGTCAAGTTTTTTCATCATCTGTGCCAGACTTGTGCTTGTTATTTGCTTCTTGATCTGCTTTTGATGCCCAAAGATCAGATTCTGTACGATTTTTTTCTGCAAAGTCATTTTCAAAAATACAGGCACTTTTCCGCCATTTATAGGAAAATTAGAATGTTGATATCCATTTAAAAAAAGCAATTATTCATATTCAAAAAATGATAAATTCAATTAAAAAATTACTCTAATTCATAATCGAAAACAGGCAATATTTTTTGTAGAAGTTTTCATCATCTGTGATAGACTTGTGCTTGTTATTTGCTTCTTGCTCTGCTTTTAATGACAAATGACCAGATTCATTGTGGTTTTCTGCTGCAAAGTTATTCCTTCTACCTTGAAGGTTGAGAATGTTTCAATTTTTTGGGACTTCCGGCTTAATTTTTGATGAACTGGAGAACTATTGAAATATGCTCTCATTGAAGTCTATTGGAAATTCTGATACGACATGATGTACAGTATATATAGATGATCTGACATAGGGGCAAGGTCCAAGAACAAATTGAAGCTTGTCCAAATCTTGGGACCCCACTATACTGCACTTAAAAGTATTCAGAGATTTACAAACCAATTTCAGTTGTGAATCCAGGATATGCTATTTGCATGGCAAAAAGCTGGAAATTTACGCTTCTGCTTTCGTATCGTTACTCGTTACCAGTTCCACACGCCCTACATCTTCAAGCGTGCGATGAAAACAAAATATTTCACTTGAACATTGTTTGCACAGATGTCGCACAGGGTATCTGTCCACGTGTTTCGCGATAATGGCCGGCGTCGATGGAATAACCATAGCAATAGAATCAACGCCAGCGATGATCGACAGAGCCACAAATTGCATCTCCAAGCATCACAAGTACCTCTTGGACACACGTCGGATCGTGTTTGTCCAAGACTGCGGCTCCAAAGGCTGGAACTACTATGGCCCCTACGACGCCATCAATGTTTCCGGGGCCCTGGAGGAGATACCAGAGCAACTCGTTGAGCAACTCGCCAGAGGAGGGAGACTAGTTTTGCCTGTGGGCCCGAAAGGGGGTCAGCAGTTGCATTGCATTGATAGAACACCAACTGGCGAGATCACGCAAAAAGTCATGATGTCTGTTACCTTTGCGCCATTAATTTCCGAATCTCCTTCTTGACGCGAATGAAAGCATAAATACTGACCCTCTGCTGTCCTATGATGAGATTAGAGATTGAAAAATAGCATTTTATTGTACGTTCCTGTTCGAGCGATTTATTTTACACCTGTGCTAACAGCATTCGCGGAAGACTCAAATCTGAAATTCAAATCTGATCGTTGAAATGAGGAACGGAAATTAAAAAAAAATACCATTTGCGTTTGAAATCGTTGTGTATATACAGTATAATCCAATAGAATGGCACCAACTGAAGCACGTGAAACGAAAGTTTCAATTGTTAAAATATTTTCAATCGTTCCGAACCGTATAGTGATATAAAATCTCAAATTTTAAGCGGGGGTCAGAAAACCCAAAATTTCGTTGGAGACGGTGGCATAATTAGAGGCCAGCAGGGATTGCTCAAAATGTTCTCTGAATAAATTTAAATTCATAAATAAATTCTCTAAACCTCACCGTACTACTTTTTGCTCTAAAAACAAATTACTGTATAGGATAGAAGAATGCGCTGTTTTTCTTCGACAAAATTTTCATGATTCGACTTTATTGAGTTCACGCCTCGTTCGTTCCAAAACATGGATTATGACGCACTGAAAACAATGCGTATGCAGTTCATAAAAACTTTTGTTTTTTATGCTTCTTAGTACTCCAAACTATTTCTGGTATACTGTATACACATCCTATTCTTGGCCTTTTTGTTCATTTTTTAAAAGCGTCGTTATGATTATTTCTGAAAAACTACGATGTGTTCATGAGTAATTTCAGATGCTCCGAAAAACATCCAAAAACTGTGGTATGCGTTCAGAAATGAGTTGGATGCGTTGGGCACATTTTCAATGGCAAGAACTTTATTCAAATAAATACACGATCTTGAAAAATTAAATAATGCGCGGTTCAAGCAGTGAGATCACGATTAGCAAAAGAAAACAGGGCCTGAGCTTTTGATCGTCTGTCTGCTGCCACATTCTTGACTCAGTTTTTTTTTTTTTTTTTTTTTTGGATCAATGTGCAGTTATACCCCTTATAACGGACACGTAATATAATAACAGCGTTTCGCACAACGGACTTGGACAGCCGCCGATTATTTGCTTCTGAAACATTCAACCTTGCTTTGAATACTGCGGTATACTCTGTTAAAAAGGATTGATTGTCTTATGAAAAGTCATAGTTGCGCGGAGAAATACGATCATCAAACTTCAATTTGCAGGGGATAACGAATATTTTATGCAGTATTTTTGATGCTTTCATGAATTGGTTGCTTTTTCATGCTTCTTATTGCTTTTACTTTTGTGAACATGCACCAACTGAATATTTTGAAAAAAAAAATCAGCCTGAACATTTCCAGCTGGTGATCTGAAATAGATTTCGCTTCCCATCTCATATTTTAGCGGGTTTTTGAATCAATTAAAAATCGAATACAACGTCACGTTCATCGGTTGATGGAATTTACGGACAATATACGGATACTACGAACGTTTAGAATGAATTGAGTCCGTTATCCGAGGCACCAGCAGCTAGTGTTCAACACAAATGCATGCACAGATGGACTCTCTCTTTCTCTGTCTCTCTCTGCATCGAAATTCAAGGGGCCAGACAAAAAATTCCTTGTAGACAGAATTTTACTGTAGATAATTCCTATATAAATGGACTCTCTCTGCAATGATCTTGTCTGCAACGATTTCCTCTGTACAATAATTTTTTTTCCTTCCCCCCCCCCATGTATTCTGTCCAGAACGAATGTGGTATTTATCTGATCCCTATTTGAGATTCATTAATCCAGGTAGAGAACTTTATGGGTCGAAAACAATCGTTATACAGATAAATTATTTGTAGAAAGAGTCCACCTGATGCATATCGTCAATTCCGGTCGTATCGAGTGTCAGTGCTGTCGTCGTCGTCGTGGGGGTTGTCCATCATATATGCTGCAGAATACAAACGTGCTGTCGACTTGGGTGTGCTCATGTGCTGTATATGTTTTGTGTGCACGGAAGCTGTCGTTCGATCGTTTCTCTCTTAACGAAGGGTAGTAGGAGTGAACGAAGGAAGGAAGGAAGGAAGAGGAGGATTAGCCAAGAAGTCGTCCCAGTCCCAGAAGACCGCCGCCCCGGTTATAACCCCGTCTGCCGCCGCCGACGCCCACGACGAACCGGGAATTGAAGGGGCCTCGCAGTGCGATTTTCGCCCCGGGTTTCCGCCCTCCTCCTCCTCGGCCGCCACCACCGTAGCCCCTGCTGTAGCCGGAATAAGACGATGAGCCGTAACTGGGTCTGCTGTAACTCGAGTAACCACTACTGTAACTGGGCCTGCTGTAACTCGAGTAACCGCTACTGTAACTGGGCCGGGAACTAGAATAACCGTAACTTGGGTAACTGCTGGACCCGTACCCTGAGTAGCCGCGACTGTAACTGCTGCCGTAACCGCGACCGTAGCTGTTGCCGTAGTACTGCTCGGATGGGGCGAGGTCATCGTCCTCTGTTTCTGTGTAGGAAATGATTTGATTCGCTGACGCATCCAGGGTTTCGTCTTCTTTCCTTTCCGCCAAACTGGTGGAAATGTTGGCGACGACCATCAGAATAATGAACCATGCCTGTACAGTAATTGGGAAAGGGACATTGTGAGTTCGAGCGAACAAGCCATGTTGACGTGCATAATAAAGACGAATTCTAAAGCCGAAACCGAATATATACGAGTTTTGTCCCAGTTGGACACAGCCTCTGATATTTTTACATGTGAGTAGAATGTGTGACAGTAAATAAATAAATAAATAAATAAATAAATAAATAAATAAATATATATATATATATATATATATATACAGAGAAAACCTCATGTGAGTAGAATGTGTGACAGTAAATAAATAAATAAATAAATAAATAAATAAATAAATAAATATATATATATATATATATATATATATACAGTGAAACCCCCATAAGACGCCACCATTTGTCCTGAGCAATTTTGGCAGTTTAAAGGGTTGGCGCTTGGAGGTATATCAAACATTTAATTTTAATTATTTGATCAAAAATACTAAATTTTCCTCAAAAAGTCGTAGAGACACAGGTTTTCTAGGGACTTCAGTCATTTTCCGAAGAGTATTGCTTTGATCAATGGATTACTCTTTTAGAAAATTCATTTTGCTGCATCAATTCATTCAAATTTTAAGATTAGGTCAATATATTGTTCAAATTTAAAAAAATGATCATCGTTATTTTTTCTGGGATTTATTTAGGATTTTTTTAAACTTTTCAGTTTACTACACAGTGATGAGTGAAAACATATCAGCTACAGCAGGAGTGCCCCTCCTGTGTCACAGCCTCACAGGGTGCAAACATTTATCAGGCCTGCTGGAAAATGTATTTTTTTTGTTTCAGCCATTATCTTTGCAACATTTTAAACAATGGTTAAACTGACAAAGAAATATAATTTTTAGTCAAGGCTGACGAATTTCCGTCACCCAGTGGCATGGGTGAACTCTGGCTGTATCTGGTAAGTTTTTATGCATATATTATACTGTACAGTAAACTGAAAAATTCTTTAAAATGTGAAAAAATTTCAGAACTCTACAATATCATAGGCTAAACAGTAAAAAAATTGTTATACAATCGTATCTCGCGACTCCATCTAGGAAATTCAGGGGCTGAGTCCAATTAGGGCAACCGATTTTTGCAGAATCAGAAAGTTTAGAGTGCAGGTGAAATTTATTTCCAAGCTTCATAATGAGGAGATTCCTTCGTCTTTTCACCGATATTCACTGACAAAATGAAACTATGCGGAAGTCTGCAGAAAATATTATTGTCCAGAAGCTGCTTATGAAGTTGTAGAAGATCTGTCGGAGCCAAACAGATTAATTTTAAAAACTCCAGTAAATTACGTGCCGTGCCTGTATACATTCTTTGACTGCTGTCACTGATGTATGTTTCGTAAATTATAGTCACGTTTATTATGACACATAAATTGCATCCCACCTATTCATCATCAATGAAAATATGTTCTGATCACCTCTCTAATAACATGACAGTTTTTCAGGAAATTTCCAAGTCGGGCTTTTAATTTGTCGAATCTGGAGACTGGAGGACAGAATTATTGTCAAAAAGGCTATATTTTGTTTATTTGAACATTATCGTTTTTCATTTTTTTCGATTGTCGCTGTAAATAAAACCCAGAGGATAACGTTTTATTTCGAATAAACTGTTAATAATCTGCGATCAAATATCGCTCTAATGCGTGAACTGTACGCTTTTTGTTTTATCGAAGCAGGCATTTCACAGAAGAAAACGAAGGAAAAACATTTAGTTTATTTTGTATATGTATTGCTTATAGCAAAGAAATGTTTACAAAGGTTGAGGAATTAAAAAAATTATGAAACTCCTCGGAAGATGCATACAATATGATGCATTTATTTTTGCTTTCAATTATAGAAAAGAAGGGAAAAGTCATACCTGGGAAAACACTGTTTTGAAAGCAAAACGGGTAGGAGAAATTAGTTTCCTTGAGATTATAAATCGGCCCAATAAATGTACGACCAGAATATGTCAATAATATGTGAGAATTTCAAAATGCTGATGAAAACAGGCTATTTGTCCAAAACTGCGGCTGGCACAATTTTTAGGTAATCTAGTTCAATTTTCCGGATATACTGTATATGCTTCACACTACGTACCGAGCAAGTCTGGGAACCCATAATAAACCGACGTTCGCTGGCAGTTTCCTGAGGATTTTTCTGAAACAAGAAATGCACGACACCGCAAATCTTTACAATTTAGCAAAGTTTACAGTTTCAAATCAATTCCGAGAAGATTTATCGATGTAATTGTTTCTTTTAACACCTTTTTAGTTTAAAAAATTGAAACTTTTCCGAGTCGACAGGATTCTACACCGAGTTCAAGATGTTGACTGATGCCATCAATGTCATCAACTGGAGCTTATATGGTTCAAGCCCAAAATGCGTAGGTTTGTTTCCTTCTAACCTTCTTGGAAAAGTTTTTCCTTGAAACTCGTCTTTAGTTTTTGTGTCTATACGAAAGAACATAAAAAAATTTGGAGCACGGGTCGATTCAGAAAGATTTGACAGTGCTGG